CTGCAAGGTTGACTGTGTAAAAGACCTTCTTCCTGTAGCGACTTTAATGATACACTGAACTCTGCCTCTCTCCTACTTCCCGGATCAATCTGTAGAAATATTTCTGCTATTACAAAATTTAAGGCCTTTCACAGACCATGTCTCTATTTCTTCAGTTACTGGAAACAATAACTTTATATATTAATATTAATTTCAAATATTAATATTAATGATAATGAAAACATATAAAGAAACTCAGGACCAAAAACTTACAATCTGTATCATAATTATTCCCATTTCATATGCTGACGTGGTACTTTGATAAGTATAACAAAATTTTCAGCTTGATTGACCTTCCTACAACCCTCCCACCCCATGTGACGCTTCCACTCCTTCCTCCCCAAACTTCAATGTGCATGTCATATTAGGCTTAGCATGCCTCAGCATATCAGCCAAGGTCATTGTTAATTTACAATTATCTTTGGACTACACTCTTTACACCATTATCTATTTACACAAGTAATATCAAATTCTTTTATATCATTCGCTCTCTCTTGTTACTCTTCTTTGTTACAATTGCACTTATTATTAGTATTAGCATAGCTATTGTTATTATCAGCATTATCATTAGTAGTAGTACCATTTTTATTAATACTATATAGTGTTCTTACCATTGTACCTTTATCTCCTGCAGGGGAGGGTGTGTCTGAGGGGCCTTAGCGTGCCTGCTTTACGGTGTACAGAGAGTTGTCATTCTATTGGTAGGGACTAGTATGGCAGACCATCTGATGACTGCCACTCTAGTTTTTTCGCATAGGAATGAATAGGCAGGTAGGAGCCCCTCCCTTTCTAAGGCCCTCAGCCTGGTTCTGTCCTACTAGACAGAACGCCATTTACCCGTCCCACCACAGGAACCGCCTTGAAAGTTCCTCTCCTCCCTCACTGAGGTGAAACAACCTATGGGTGGTTGTTTCAGTGGGATGGAAGGAACCGCCTGGAAAAGGTGCAAGAGCTCCATTCACACTCACTGAGGTGAAACAACCTTTGGGTGGCTGTTTCAGAGGGATGAGCAAAAGGGTTCCAAACAATGATGGCCTGTAGGTGGAAGGGCATCCCCTCTGATGCCAAGAGGCATCATGCCTAGAGCCTAGCTTGCTCTGTCAGGAAAGAGGCGGCCCTCAGGCGACAAGAGGTTGCTAAAAAGCGACCAGACTTTGTTCCTGTTCCTCCAGGCACCCATGTCTGGGGATAGAACAAAAGAGAAAAGGCCTCCCGACCTCCTAAGAGGAAGGAAGCCGCTCTCCAGCCGACACCAGATATCTCCAATACTAAGGAGTTACCAGCCATGCAAAAAGTGCAGAAAAAGAACCACAGGAATAAAGGTTCAAAGAGCACTACAAAACCCTCCCCAAGAGATAATCATCTCTTTGGAGAGTAAGATATGACTCCTGTTGACTGTTGTAATCACTGCAGTAGCAACAGCCTTAGGGAGGTCGAGTGAAGAGGCAGAAAAGGCAGTCACGGTCGCCATGACGGCAATGACCTAGACTGTCGCAGTCCTGAAGGGAAGGAAGCTGGAGAGAGCCAAACCAGCCCCACCCAGGACTCCACTCCCCTCCTCACTCCAACCGAGGCCATGCCCTCAAAGGCAGAGCCTAACCAGGCTGAATCTGTGCAGCCAGTGCCAGAACACAGACAAAGCCTGAAGTGAGAAAAGCCAACCTAACAAAAGTCAGAGTCAAGTCAGAGTCAAGGCTCTCCACCTTCCAGTGGACCCAGGGATATCCTGGCAAACAGTCCAAAACTGTGGGTCATCAATGGCTTCTCCTCAAGGAACACTGACATTGTCATGTTCCAGAATACCCTGTTTAACCCATTGCCGCCGGGAAAAATGAACAAAAAATGGGGAAAATGCTGTGCCTATTTTCTATACTTTTTTGTTAAATGTCTGCCCATAGATGGCTTTGTTAGCGCCGATTTGAAATGGCGGGAAAAACGTATTTTTCACTAGTGCCATGAATATCGATGGTGTTATTTTTATCATAAACATTGTAATTTTTATAATATTTTTTAACATTAGTAACAGCAAAGTAAGATAACGTAAAATATTTCGTAAATCAAAGAAAAAGGTGAACGGCCGAGACAGGCGGTACTCGTAACTGGCTCATTGGTGATTTAGTACAAGTGTAGCCATCTATGTGTGAAAACAATCTAACAAGTAATCTCACAGTGGTCATGGCATGGCATGCCTGGCGGGAATGGGTTAACAGGGTATCATGTCTTCATGCTGTCACACATAGCTGGCAAGAGAGGCCTGGTCAGAGCAACAGCCGATGCACCTCACTATGGAGACGATGTTGAATCTCTTGCTGTTGAGATTCACCTGGCCAGACAGTGAAAATGTGGAAGTGCTTGAAACCAGACTTATCAATACCATAAATCAAGGTCAACCACAGAATAAGCATGTGCTGAAAACAATTCCGAAGGCAAAGAACCCCTAGCAACCTAGTCCTCCTAAGGGAGGCTGTCAGGGATGCCAAGGAAACTGCCAACAGAGTCAGGCAGGAAAAGTGGCTGGAATGGTGCGTGTCCTTCGACCACCAAACCACCCTTTCTGATCTAGGGCAATGGGTCAGGTGAGCTACCAGTTGCTCAACCCTAAGGTGCACACATCATGACTCAATCAGAGGCAAACAGACTGGCACAAAAATTCTCTGCGAGAACAAGCAGCAACAGTCTGCCAGCTGAACTGAGGGCAAGACAAGAATGCCTAAAACCAGACAGACTTGCTCATATCAGAGAAAGGGCAGCCGAACCCAGTAACTCGGATGTTATCTTTTCTCTGAGGGAACTAACCTACAAAAATCTACCTACAAAAAAAAAAAAAAAAAATTATAATACAAAAACCGCTCTAACACAGCCTCGGCTTCTGATGGGATCTCGTATCCTATTACTCCCCACCTAGGCTTAGCAGGTGAGCTTGCACGCTTGCAACTCATCTACAAGTCCTGGGAAACTTCCACTCTACCCCAGCGCTGAAGAGGGATACCATAGTTTTCCATCCAAAACCAAAGGAACCAGGGAAGTACCGCCCCCCATCTCTTAAGCACAATCAGCACTGGATTATCTGTGGCAGTATTCCTAGATCTGGAGGCTTTTGAATTAGCAAGTCCAGTTGCCATTCAGGAGAGCCTGATCCAGAAGGGAATCATAGGGAAGCCATTGGCTTGAATAGGTGACTACTTCAGGAACAGAATAACCAGAGTCAGACTATCAGATTCACAGCACATGCCACTAGAAAATGGAGTGTTGTGAGGGCAGGTCTAAATATCTCACGGCACAAGTCTGAAAATCCAGTAAATGGACTTGGAATGGGTCCAGGACTTCCGGTACCCTTAAGGATTGACCGATACAAAAACCGCTCTAACACAGCCTCGGCTTCTGATGGGATCTCGTATCCTATTACTCCCCACCTAGGCTTAGCAGGTGAGCTTGCACGCTTGCAACTCATCTACAAGTCCTGGGAAACTTCCACTCTACCCCAGAGCTGGAAGAGGGATACCATAGTTTCCATCCCAAAACCAAAGGAACCAGGGAAGTACCGCCCCATCTCTCTCCTTAGCTGTCTGGCCAAGAAGGCAGAGAGGATGGTAATAAACAGACTCCAAGGGAAAATGGGACCCCACATGAAAACCTCCACGGGTTCACAAGGGGCATGAGCACAGCACATAACATAGCCACGCTCTTAAGCACAATCAGCACTGGATTATCTGTGGCAGTATTCCTAGATCTGGAGGCTTTTGAATTAGCAAGTCCAGTTGCCATTCAGGAGAGCCTGATCCAGAAGGGAATCATAGGGAAGCCATTGGCTTGAATAGGTGACTACTTCAGGAACAGAATAACCAGAGTCAGACTATCAGATTCACAGCACATGCCACTAGAAAATGGAGTGTTGTAGGGCAGGTCTAAATATCTCACGGCACAAGTCTGAAAATCCAGTAAATGGACTTGGAATGGGTCCAGGACTTCCGGTACCCTTAAGGATTGACCGGACCTTCTACTGGTTGACCAAACCAAAACAAGACTGTCTATCATGAGAGTAATGACTGGGAGACACATAGGAGCCAGACACAAAGTACTAAGATCATTCCATGTACATGCCATCCGGCCTATTGTGGACTATGCCTCTGTTGCTCTGATTGCCATAGAGAAAAAAATATAAAGACAAATTAGACAGTTTAAAATGAAGCTGCCAGGATCATTCTGGGTGCCCCAAGGTGGACGAAGGTCCTCAACCTCCTCATGGAGGCAAACCTTCTCCCCCTGGTCTCATGAATTGATCTAATGGCAGCACAATTCCTGTCAAAGGTCATCCAGGCTCCCAAGAACACAAGCCTAAGAAAAAAAGTCAGATGTCTAGAACAAGACAACGAACTCTTTGCAAACAACTGGCTGTCTCATACAGCCAGGGTGTTGATACACTATCAGCTCAAAGAACAGCTACTTGCTAAGGGCATGGACTCCTCACACCCTAACTTTATTGAAGCCCCGCCGTGGGCACAAACCCTGATAGAGTTTTCTATTATGAGCCTATCAATGAGAAAGAATCAGTACCTCACACCTAGTCTAAAGGCAGAAGCCAAAAGGATCACTATAGCCATCACTCCTCTGGGTAGTAGTACATACTTCACGGATGAATCAGTCGATCCCTTGGGCAACACTGCAGGCGACAGCTTTGCAGCATAGGATGACACAAAATCCATGAGGGTAACAGACAACGCCTCCTTGCAACAGAGGCGCTTGCAATCATGGGAGCCCTAGCCTACGCATCCCTGAGGGAAGGACACATGGTCATACATGCAGATCCCAGGGCAGCCACTGACTGTCTTCAGCACAGCTCATCCAAAGACATCTACCTCCTGACCACTGTGCTTACCATAGCGCAGAGAATTCTTGCTCAGGGTAGAATAATTAATAATTGGGTCCCCAGCCACATTGGCATCAGAGGGAATGAGCTTGCTGACAGACTTGTCGACAACTTGTCATACAACCAAGCCGAAAAATCCTAAAGAAGTGTACTGCGGCCAGTTGGTACTCAGACGCCACAGGC